GAAATCAAGTTATATGTCCACATAGGGTATCATTGTCTACCATAGTCTCCCAACTGATGCCTGCAGACATTTTGAGACACAGTTCCACAATAATGAGCCTGTGAGATGGTGATGGTTGTCATCTCAATACATTTGGAAGACACTATTGGGAAAAGACGGTTAAAACTTACAGAGGCTTGAGGCACATTTGTGCCTGTTAAAAACTGTGAACTGTTCAAAATATCACATCAATTTTCCCCATCTTTTGGTCAGATCTAAGGGGCAAAATGTAGGTCTTTGCAAAACTGCGAAAGATAAAAGTTTTTGCACATAATTAGCAAAATGGGTACCATGCACCTCTGCAAAGCTGGAGTCACCTATTTCACCTCTTAAAATCCCATTCCTGTTCATTCTGATATTAAGATGCTGCACTCTCTGTGTCCCCCCCCCCAAGGCATCTCCCCCCACAAGTGCAGCCCTTGAGTTGGAAATAGTTGGCAAGGTTTGCTTTAGATTCTAAGTGCAGCTAAAATTATTTATTAGCTTAGTGTTGAAAGCGGAACCCTGGTCAATTCAGTGTTAGAATGAACAAGTGAGACCTCTGCCTCACAACAGTGTGGAGGCACTGAAGTTCATCTGTTTCCTTGTCAATTCATGGTCTCATACATAAAGGACGTGCTGATCTAAGCTCAGTGCTGTCCTTGGCTATCCCATGATGCAATGGATCCTCCAGCAGTCTTGAGAAGTCAAGCTCATTAATCCCCAAGTTAAGTAGGTGCAAGCATCCACAGCGCATGGAGATTGTGTCAAAATGATGACATGCATGATGATGTCATGATGCAAACTCCATCCTTACATACTTGCATTTTGACATCTGATGCAAGAGTGTAGGTTGTGTCTTTGGCATCATGATGTCATGCTGCATGTTTCATCACTGGCCTGCACCATGGACAGCTAGGTAATTCAGCTGTAGAGAGAAGAGTCCCTCTGCAACTGCTGTGCAGAGTGATGTTCCACTGCTAGAGAGTTTCACTTTGTCCAGCCTCTGGAATTCTCTCCCCACAGAAAGCAAACATGTCCTGATGCCTCAACTTTCCCCACCAAATGGAAGAACAACTTTGCCTTTTCTCCAGCAGTGGTCAGCTTGCTTTTTCCTCCTTTCTCTCACCCAGAAAATTAATGTCTTAAATGAAGATGGGTGGGTAGGGCAGTACCTGTCCCCTGTTTTTGGAGTTTCCCCCATTGCTGGTGAGAGAAAGCAAAGATTGATTTAAGGAGGGAAACAGGATAAATTGCAGAAAACATGAAACAGCTGCTTGTTTGGGGAGGGGGGAGGGGAGGAGCAAAGCTGACAACCATACAGGAGAAGATGGAGTGAGCCAGTCTTGGGGAAGACAGTTTTGGGGTCTCATATTGATTCTGTGTTCCAGCCCCCTGAGCTCTATCCCAATACCCAGTCATCAAAATGGGGTTTTGGCTGTTGCTACTGAAGGCCAGGTCAACCTGTAATAAGGCCTCCCACACTGAGGACTTAATAATAGATGAGAGGGTCTACCTGGCATGTATCACTGTGAGACTAGGCTGAAGCTGCCATAGCCTAAAGCTGAAGCAGGCAGGTAAGCAGAGAGGACAAAAAGGCAGGAATCTTGTCTATGAGATCCCTTCAGGAAGGTAGGTAAGAAGGAAGCAAGTCATTGAGGAAACAAAGGACCTGGACCAGACAAAAGAAGATGGGCCTGAGCACATGGAAACCCTCACCCCAATCCCATTAACTTGTAAATCAACAAAGCAAGGACTTTGGGGGATAAAAAGGGTCCCAAAGCCCGCCTCTTCTGAGTCATCTGAGTCATCTTTGGATCCAGACTTGGTGGCTTCCATCCTTCTAGCTAGTGCCCGACAGTCTAGTTGAGAAGGATGTGGGTAAGTGTGGATGAACATGTGTGTGTGTATGAGAGAAAGAGCAACCAGTAAAGTTTTGTTGTTACTTTAAATTCACTGGGTCTCCGTGTATTACAAATAACCTCTTGTGCCTCAGT